CACTCTATAAGGAATGTGTTTCGGGTGGTGGGGTGGGGGGGTAGGTAATTGTAATTGCGTTGTTGTGGAGTGCCAATAGCGAAATAAAGCCACTAATAAGCCAAATGACGTGCATTTGTCATTAACTTGCGCTCAGATCTTTATGCCCCATCCAGTTGCAAAGTCATTATGGGTCTGAGAGAGTTTGGTCTGACGCTTAACCAGCGGCTTACATTTAGTTTTGGGGATAAGGCTCTTAATTTAATTGGCACAAGCATCAAGGAACACATCAACTGACCACAGCTTGGGGATTCCACACAGCAGGCAAACTTTAATCAAATAAATTCTATATAAATAATAGGATATTCATGGAGGTAGAAGATATTATTTAATGCACGATTCCTAAGCTAAATAAATCTGTTTTCATATATGAAACCGATCTGTTGTCATTTCAAATTAATTTCCCAAACACACACAATAAAGAATCTCATTTAATTTGTCGGGAAACCATAGCCACCACCCAAAACGCACCCACCCGCAGTACTCCACTGCTGACATTCCTTTTTTAATATTTTAAAAATAATTTTGACAAAAAGCAGTAATAATAATAATAACAGGAAGAAGCCGCCAGGACAATGGCTGAATAATGATATTGTGCGAGGGAGGAGTACCTAGGGGGGTACGTAGTACGGGCCAGGTCAGGCCGAGTAAATGCAAACAAACCTGTCGAAAAAAGCCAACAAAAATGTTACATAATCAAAATAATGACTCTGAAAGGGGGGTGGGGGTTGGGGGTTGGGGGTTGGGTTTGATTCAAAGCTACGAAATAGCAAAAGAATAAATAAAAGCAATGACAAGAGTAAATTTTAAAATTCCAACAATGCCATGCCGAGGTCTGAGAGCTGAGCGCCCGTTTCAGGCTAATCTCTCAAGTGGCAAATGCATTCAAATGAATGTCGTGAATATTGAGGAGCATTCTGAGGCTGCGGCAGGGGGCAGGGGCACAGCCCAGATGAGGCAAGGTGAACTAGAGAAGCTGCTGATGCAGCAAGGACAGCCATTTTCAATGGCAACAGACGGCATAGTAGTTGGGGCCGCTTCACTCGCTAGCGGGGCTTAGCACATGCACTTGAAATGTAATATCACCGTCGCAGTCGTCGTCACCGTCAACATCGCTGCCGTGCCCATCGACTTAGCTGCATTTTATTATAGAATACTTTGCAGCCGCCTCCGTGTGGCCAAGCCCCCGCCACCCTCGCCTGGTAGCAGCCAGCACAATAATCCCTCATATTTATTTTTGCAAAATTATTTGCTTTGTCTGATTGCGGATTTGCAGCTGCAACGTTTGCACAGTTACTTTGCCAGCAGCAGGAGCAGCAGCAGGAGCAGCAGCAGCAGCCACAGAAGGGAAGAGCCACTGTGCCATCCATAGGGGTCTTCTCCGACAGTCCACAGATTCGGTTCGTAGCAATGAATGAAAGTTCTTTACTGGGCGCAGGCTCGGGCTCGGGCTCGGGCACAAGCTCAGGCCTGTGCAGGGCACTCATTTAATATGAAAGCAAATTGCATAAAATCACACCTGCAAGCCAACTTAGCACCCCCATCCTCACGGCCACTTCCCCGTCTGATGCCGATGCCGTTGCCGTTGCCTGGCAGCCAATCCCTGGCGCTTAGCAGCAAGCAGAGCGAACAGGACATGAGTCCGAGTACAAGTACGAGTAGCAGTCGCAGTCGCAGACGGAGTCGGAGGACACTCAGAGAGTTGTGGCCGTGCAAATATCGACTGCACTGCATGGCTGCGATGCAAACAACATGCTGCCCATCTAGCGATGTCCCAGTGATGTCCCCATGTCCCCTGTCTGGCACTACCATCCCTCTCTCTCTCTCTCCCTCTCTCCCTGCCGGCATGACAGTTGTAAAAACACGTTTATGGCCGCAGCCCTTCCCTGGCTGTGTCTCTGGCAGTGTGTCCACATCTTGACTGCATGCCAAAAATACTGCCAGAGCCTCCACCGAACCGAGCTGAATGGAGGCTGCATGCACTTCGCTGTCACCCAGCGATTACGAGGCGGACAGGAAAGTGCGGACCAAGTGTGGGCTGCTTCAGAGCCTGGCAGCCGCAAGTTTATGATGTTGAACACACACACACACACATAGAGAGAGAGAGCTGGAGGTGGAGGTGGAGGGACACATACATAAAGTCGCGTAATGGCCCAGTTACTAATTTTGTAGACATGTAAAAGTTGCATCTTCCGTCCAGGAAGTGCAATAAAATGTTTACCAAACTCCAACTGAGGGGGCGGGCCCTATTGTTATTTGGGGCTATCATGATGAGAGCAGTTGCCATTAAAGTCAAATGATCCCAGAGTCCATGTTTGGCGACAATTATTAATTAATGATAATAATTATTAGATCTGGTACCTCGGATTTCCAAATCTGGATTTTAGCTATCAAAAATGGCATTTAAATAATTTAAAACTAAATACAGGCCCACTTGAGAATAGTTGCAGAATGCATTATTTTGCCATTAAATGTTGACTTCCAGCTCTTTTTTTATGTGAGTAGAAAGCATCAAGGTCATCTTAGATACATGTCATCGAAGGATGACAGGTCTAATATTTCTAGTCTCTAGTATAGCATATTTAATGCGGCTGAATAGATATTATCTTAGATGCTTATTTGGCAGCAGCATTCCCTAAGTACAGATCCAATTTCAGATTTATTTTAGAGTTTAGACGCCAGGCCTTTATCGGAGAGTCCAATCTAAACTTTCTTCTTCGCTTCAGAAGTGCAGAAGACAGTAGCCTGCCCTGTCACAGCTCTCTGGGCAGTGCGTGGGCAATGCATGCGCTTAGGCGTTGGCCTTTCGTTAGCCCCCCCCCCCCACCCACAGTGCTTATGTAGCTGTCAGGGCCACGCCTTGTCGCAGTTGGCACTGTGCAAAACGCCCACGTTGCAGTGGCATCTTCTGTGGCTGTTGCTGCTGCCGTTGCTGTTGTCAGCGCTTCGATTTTGCAGTTGTAGACAATAAATTTGTGCCCGCTCATTGTCAACTAAAATCAAAAACATAATTCAGAGATACGCAGACACACGCACACACACGCAGAGCGATGCGAGCAGAGACCGCAATGTTATGCAATATGTCTGGTTGTATGCGTGTGTCTGTGCATCGGTACTTGGCATGAAATTAACACAAATGCCAAAACAGCAGCAGCAGCAGCAGCCAGTAGGCGTGGCTGGTTGTGCAAAGCGAGTGTACATACATCCAGGCAGGACAGGACTGCAGGCTGGACTGCCACGGGCTCCTGCACCACTGTTTGAGCTTGCATTTAATGCGTTTGCAGGACCACAAATCGGCCAATCCATCTAAGCAGGCAGCAGACACACGACACCCATCCCAACCCATTCTCGGGCACAGCCACACGATGCACACTCCCGCCCCCACCCCCCATCCGCACATGCAAATGACTTCCGGCATTGGGGGTACGTTGTGTTTGTTTAAAGCAAATAGCAAATAACCCGATCCAACATGGCAACCTTTAAATATTCGAAGACCCACACTTTGGCAACACACAAACCCAGCCACCCAGCCACCCAGCCACCCAGCCACCCACTCTGCTTGGCCACCTAACGACCCACATGACAACCACTAATCTGCACTTGTATGGGACATTATTTGGACATTTGTAATTTCCGGTCGATGCCGTTTTTATGACCCCTCTCAAAACGCATAAAAGAAAATTTGCAACAATAGGGCTTGGCTTACAACAATAAGCCCGAAACGCACTGACTGCTGACCGGAAAAGGAACAGAGGAAGGGTTCGGTTCGGTTCGGCTCGAGCTGGAGCTGGAGCTGGAGCTCGTGTGTGTCAGCCATTTGGGTCCCACAAAAGGTTAACACTTCAGCTCGTTCACTATTAAAGGGCGGAGCGGGGGATCATCTCCTACTCCTAGAATGGAGCTCATTGGGCGTGGGGAGGGTGGGATGGTATGGTATGGAATACTCCTGTGCTGGCAGCAATTCGATTCTGTTTACGAGCTCGCATAAAAAGCCAAGTTTTATTCCGAGCGGCACCGAGTCAATGCCAAAATGTGTCGCCGTCTAATGAGGCCCATAGAAAAAAAAGGGGTTGACAGGCGCACGAGCAGGGGCACGAGCTCGGTCAGGGGTATATCCTAAGCAAATATACTGGAAAATTGAAGGCAAGGCACACACACATTTGCTTAGCTTGGGAAAATGTTTGGCTTATTGCCTTATTAAGTTCATGAAACTGTCAAGTACTTAAAGGCAAACGGCAAAATGCTTATGAAAATTATTGCCAGCACTAGCCAGCCAGCCAGCCAGCCAGCCAGCACACACGTGTGTCCTAAAGGTGTAATTCTGTGAGTGTGTGTGTGTGGCTGCAAAGCAATTATCCAAATTGCACCTTAAATTGAACCTCTCTGCTACCCTGGAGGCATTTTCGGTCGCATGCTTCCAACAGATTTCCATTAAAAACGAAATTTAAACTCACAAGTTTCGTGCAATTTTAGGAGCCAAAAATAAGGGTGTATAAGGGTGCTACTTATACGAGTATGTGGGTATGTATGTATGTACGTATGTACTTTGTGCTTAGTATCTGTAAAGGTAGAATAATTCGTTTATGTTCGAGAGCAATGGACACAGATAGAAGCAACAAATGCGTCCTTTTAATTCTCTGTGATTCAAGATCTTTAAACATAAATGAGAAGAGAGCAAGTTAAGCACAGCTAAACTTAAATAAACAACATAGATAACTAGAGCAGATGAAGCTGCTTGGGATATTTCTGCATACCAATTGTAGCTCTAAGCAATAAATGTGAGAAACCACCAAGAATAAATCCCTGTTTATTATTTCAAGTGTCAATGAAACTCGCTGTGTATTCCACTCCATCACATGAAGTTCTTGTGCTCATTTCAGTGAACATCGAAATAAATGAACAACTTAATTGGTGGCCCGCCCGTATATCGGAGTTCGGCTTCATCCGGAAGATTGTTGGGAAGACCACAAGACAAGAGACCCTTTTTTGTGAGGTCAAAGGTGTAAAGGGCAAACAGCATTTGAGTGCGCTTGCTTCATTTGGCCCAGGTGGAAAAGTCAATACTGCGGCTGTTGTTGGAAAATATTAACTGTCTCTGGTTGCAGGTCCAGGATCTGGTGCGGTCGGTCTCGCCCAGCCAGCCCGGTATCTGGATAAAGGTAAACCTCAACTATTTGCATACAATTTGTAGAAAATAGAAAATAATCAAAGCAATGTGCAACTAGCCGTGAAGAAGGAGCCGAGTCCTGCCAGGCCACTGCCATGAGCATGCATTAGAGGAGCAGAGGGGCAGGCCGAGCCGGGCTGGGTCCGTGTCCGGGTCGGGTCAGGTCGGGATGTAGGAGCTACTTAGCAAACATCAACACCTGTTAAGAGTTACACTCGAGAACAAAGCTGCAAATTGGCTGGCCTGGCGGTAAGTGCAGCTGTAGCTAAGGGGCGACTCTCTCACCAGCAGCAGCAGCAGCAGCACCAGCAGCAGCAGCACCACCACCACAAAACCCAACAGCAGCAACAACAACTAATCAATTTAGCAGGAGGCAAGGAGAGAGAACGTGTACATGGAGAGGAGAGGGAGCTATGACGATGGAAATTTTGCTGACCGCAGGCAATGGCAATGTTCCGGACCATGACGATGCCTTGCTAATGGTAGCACGAATCAGGGGGGCAAGGGGGCAAGGCATGGCATGGCTCACGGAGAAGCGAAGGGCCCCTAAACTTCATTATGAGATTTGTGTAATTGTTAACCAATTTACCGTTACGTTTTGCATGCCACAAGCCACAGCAGCAACAGCAGCAGCAGCAGCAGCAGCAACAAATCCATTCATTCATTCCGACTGTGGCTGCCACACGCCCTTCAAGACGATAACACCCGTGATATATTGTCCAAATTATAATGCCGGAAATGTTATTAATGCAAAATGCTGCTCGATTTCGAGCGCTGTTGTTGCTTCTGCTATTGGGTTGGGTTGGGGCTGTGTTCGCATTGAGCGTACGGATTTCTGCTCTCATTTCGGGCTTCAAAGTGCCCAGATATAGCTATTTGTAATGAGGAATGAATCTGCAACTGCATCTATTGCCATGCACAGACATCACTCCCGTCTGCTGGTGGGTTGCAAGTGAACTAAATGCTCAAGCAAACAGAAAAACACAGTAGAAAATGCCAGCAAGTGGCAGGAGACTTTTATTGCAAAAATATTTGCAATATATAAAAAAAAAAAAGGTTTGCTAAACTTTTAAGAGTTTCCTTGAAATTAATAAATTTACCATGAATCTGCCATGATTTATTCTCTCATTTCTATCCCAAATTCAGTCATGAATAAAAATAATCAGAATCAGAATCGGATCAGGTAAATTCCAGCCACTGGGGAACACTTGGTTTATTTTTGAATTATTAATAGAAATATTTTTTTTACTCATATATCGATCCTGAATAATATTCATTGCCAGAATTCTCCACGTGGCTCTCCGCTCTTTCATTGCTCCACAGTTCTCCATCGTGCAGCAAGCAGCTTTAGCCTAATTAAAAATGCACAAATGCCGCCTGTCCTCTGCCGCTAGCCAAATGCAAAATATTTGCATTGTTCCATGGCCAAATGAGGATAGTGGGCGGCCGTGTCGGATGTGGCACAATTAGGATTGCCTGCTGTGCCTCGTCCCCACAATTCGGCTGGGTTGACCTTTAATTGTGCGCTGCTCGTGTGGGCGGGAACATTTTGGTGGGAGGGAAGCACTTTCGCTTATTGGAAAGGATGCAACCGGAGACGGCGACGGAGGCGGAGAGCCAGGGGCAGGGGCAGAGGGAGACGGCCGCGAGACGCAGCGAAGGTTTATTGATCGGCGGAATGCTTTTAAGACGCTCGCATAAAAACAATAATGATGCCACGGTGTGGTGTCGAACCGGGGGTGGGTGGCGTGGCAGAGGGAGAGGGAGAGGGGGGCAGGCAGCTGTACATAGAAATAAATATTTATATGGGCAACATCTATAAATTGAAAGGCAAAAGGGTTGCCCGCCCCGCCCCGCCCCGCGACACCTAAGTCAGGTGAGACAGGAAGGACTTATAAGCTTTGCCTTCTGCCCCACACAAAAACACACACACACGCAGAGTCGTCTGTCCGTAGAGGCAGGGGAGCAGCATTTGGACTTGGACATTTTTACGATGTGATTTCACATAACCACAACCGACGTGCAGACAAACCAGCGGGCAAAACGGAGCAAAGTAGCAAGCGGCAGTGGCAGAATCAGCAACAGAATGTGGCAGTGGCAGTGGCAGAGGCGGAGGCAGAGGCAACGGCAGTGGCAGACGACATAAGTTGCAGACGCGCTTTGGTGATAAACTTTGAAATTGCCGGAGAGACAGAGCCCCGAGGTGTGTGTGTGTGTGTGTAGTGGGGCGGGGGGAAGTACGAGAATTTATTACACTCCAGCGGCATCACAGATACAAACACACACAAAGAGAAAACACTACACACACACACACACACAAAGATACAAACGGATTCTAATAAGCAAAATGCGCTGCTGAGCCCCGCTAATGTCCTGCAACGGAATCAAACGGAAACGAACGGAATTATGGGGCATTACACACCCACCCACCCATCCAATCATTTCGCCTACTCCCCCCAGCCAACTGGCAACTGGCAGCCCTGGCAAACTCACAGGCCGCCTGTAACCTATACTTTTCACTTGATTTCAGCGCCAGGGCGGGCATGCATGACCCAAGTCATTAATTTTGAAGAAAGTCAGAGACATACTCGGAAAGGATTGTGATTGTGAGTGTTTGAGTGTTTGAGTGTGGCCATCGCATTTTTTGTGAGTGTCAGCATAACAAGGGGGAGGTGGCAACCCACCACCACCACCACGACCACGCTCCTGCCAGTGTCGCACTTGAGTTGATTTAATTCAATTCATGGACAGACAATGATTGCGTCAATTGCCGCATGTTTATCATTCGAGACAGCCAAACATTGTGGGGCATTGTCGTGGCCAGAATCCAAGCATGTACAGACGGGGGGAATGGAAGACTGGAAATGGAAATGGAATGGATACAGCCACAGCCAAGAGCGGAAATTGTGGAAATTGTATGTAAGCGTATTAGTATTAGTTTGGCAGTTGTGCCACTGCCACTGATTTCCTCTCCTGCTGCTGCGGCTGCTCTCCTTACTTGCTTCTTTACATACGAATGGCCATACTGTCGTGCCTCGTGCCCCCCCTGTCATACACAATTTGTGTCTTGGCAACGCTCCTGGCCTGGGCTGACCCGGCTGCCAATTAGGGGGTAGCAGGAGACCCACCGAAGGGCCAGCAGCGCGTATACATCACCCAAGGGTGCGATTCAGTACAGGTTTTCAATTACACATTATGACTGTTGCATGGTCTACCCAAAACTGCAGTAAAATTTCCAACAAACACACACACGCAGCCAGTGGAAATTGGATTTGCGACTGGTTGTTCTTGCCTTTCGGTTTTTCTTCTCCCTTTTTTTTTTTTGCATTTGCTGCCGCTTTTTATGTGGCCCGCACTCCCGCACCTTGTCCCGGCTCGTTGGCTTTTATGAACTTATAAACAAGAGCTCCAGTCTCAGCCCCAGCCCCAGCAGCAGCAACAACCCCCCCAATGCAACCCTTTTGGCATGTTGCTGCCACCTCCTGTGCTTATTATGTGGATTATTAGAGGGATTTACTTGCTGCCATGTACAAATTCATGTGCTCCAAGTCGGATTTCGGATTCCGTATGCCGTATTCCGGACTCTGGCTGCTGGCTGCCAGCTACCAGCTTCTGGCTTCTGGCTCCAGTCGCCAGGCTTCTTTGCTTGCGGATGCGGATGCTGTGTGTGTGTTTGTGTGTGTTTTTGGTGGCATCATTGACATAAATAAAAAGATTTCGAAAGGATTTGCCTGCGGGCAACCACACCACAACGCAACCAATCCAAGACAAACCCAAACCCAAAGCAAACCAAAACCCCCTTGTAAAAGTTGCTTCCTGTCCCGTAAAAATGTTTACCACATTCGAGGGTGTTGTCTCTGGTCCTGGTCCTGGTCCTGGTATGGCTGTGTGATTTACACACTCCAAGATCCAAGAGCTCAACCCAGTCAATGCCTATTTTGGCATTGCCATAAATTGATAACCAGCCTAATCACAGATGGCGGAGTAGCACCTCATCTGACTGACTCAGCCAGTTGGGCTCCGAGGTCTCCGATAAGCTAATTCCGTTGCCCGGCGTAAACAATGACGTGTGCTGGACTTTCACTTCATGTCGGCTGTTTCCCACACACACACACACACACACACTAGCAGCTGGCTGTGGCACTCTGGCCTTCGAACCGGACAATACCATGTCGTGCGCTTGAAGGGGGGAAATATCCCTTATCTCTCGCATCATCTGCATACAAACAATCAATTATAATTATCAGCATTTGAACAAATTTAACAACTCATGAGCTTGAAGAGTCTCTGCCGACTGTAAGCTGTGGAATATCATTCCAGGTACAGGTTTACCTACGGGTTTACAGGTCCCTACTACGAGTAAACATCGAGCATCGAGGAGTACTTTTGCAGCTATCCGCAATATGGGACATTTATATTGTCAGGCATACTTTGCATTTAAGCGAGAAATTCTCACTTATTTTGTGTATAATTCCACAAGAAAAAATATAAAAATAAACTAAAAATAAATAAATTACTTGGCATTTATTGCTAAGCATTTGAATTGATGCTTTACAGTCTTAAGTCGAACCCAATACCCTTTATTCCCCCTCCGGAACTTGCCTTCAGCGTAGGCAAATTTCATTGAGGAAACTAATCAGCCAGCTGTCTCGTCTACGAATGGTCTACGATGAAACAGATTAGTTCGCATGCTGTGTGGGGTAAGAGCTGAAGCCGCCTCAAGTTGTGGGCTAATTGAATCACATCAATTAGGTGCGAAATGCTGCAAAGATCAATTGCCATTCAGATAGCATTTATGTGCAATTTATTGAAAATTACAAAGCATCAGAGAAATTAATTAAACAATAATGAAATAACTATGTTTATTCAGGGACTACAATTATGGCCACTGCCCACTGCCAATCCCGATGACTGGCAGTCACGTGTCGTTGATGGAGTCTTGATTAAGTGAATTGAACTTAGAATTTAGTGGCACTCGATGGGTTTGTTCAAGTGTTGGTTCCGCCATGCCTGAGGACGCGCAGGCGTGAGTAGACAATGTCCCAGTCGAGGAAGGCGCCAACGAGGTGTCGCACATTGCGGTCCGTGTCGTCGTACCCCGTGCGGCCGTGTACCAGGCGCAGGTTGTTGAATGTGAGCACATCGCCGGGTGTGGTCTTGAAGCTGCATGCCTGTTCGTTGGCCAGGCGAACGAACAGGGCCATCGCCTCGTACCAGGGACGGACCTGATCCAGCGGCACACTGAAGTGGCTATCCCGCTGCGGAATGCTGTGGTTGATGCGCACATACCGACGACCCTCGGCGTCCAGGCTGCAACGGCAGAGGGGGAATAACAGAAGGAATACCAGGATTAAGCCGGAGTTCCGCCTGCCCAAAGGGGGATACTCACTTGATGACTGGGGCACGCCAGATGTTGTGGAACTCCAGCTCCCCGTCGCGGCCAATGTCCGCCCAATCGACGGGCGTCTGAGTGAGCACCCGGAACTGTTCCGGATACCGTTCGCGCATCAGATCCGCTACGTGGTAGGCGTCCGCCAGGAGATTCACACCGCCCGGCGAATCGGACTGCTCCAGCGTGTGCAGGAGCGTCACGCCGGGCTTGTACTCGAAGTACGGCATGTCCGTGTGCAGGGGCAGGGGCGCAGCCAGGTAGGCGTAGTTGCTGGCCCCCGGCTGGGCGCGCACGCTGAACTCCTCGCCGTAGGTGGTGCGACGCATGAAGCCCACGCGGTTGCACAGCCGCCGCAGCACGTCAAACTCGAGGGGCGCCTGCCTGACCAGCGCCACTCCGTACACTGCCAGATGGTGGAGCCACTGCAGGAGCGCCTCGTCGCTGGCCAGCAGTTCCTGGTACTGGAACTCGCGACGGATGTGCTCGAACTCCAAGCCGCTCCAGTGCCGCGGCTCGGGGCGGTAAAAGTCGCTCAGGTATCGCGTGCGGTTTGCCAGCGAGAAGTCGCGCTCCCGCAGCCAGGCGAAGGGATACTGGGAGGCGTGGCCGTCGGACCACTGGATGTACAGCATCTGCTGCTCCACATCCACGCTCTGCTGCTGCGCCCGCACACTCGTGTCCAGGTTGTTCCAGAGCTGGGGCAGGCGACTCAGCGTTTGGGGCAGGTAGCACTCGCCGCAGCGGCAATTGTCGCGCAGCCAGATGTCCGGGAACTGCATGTCCAGCTTGCCAGGACTCTTGACGATCACCATTCGCAGATGATCCTGCTGCAGGTGCAGCTCCGGCCTCGGCTGACGCCGTTCCAGGGCTCGGCTTAGTTGCGGCTCCTCCGCTTGAAACATTTCGCACACACAACCAACGGCGACGTCTTCTGCCAACGGAATGAGCTTGTGTCTTGGGGCTGGAGCAGCATCAGGCCATGCTCTGCCCATTTGGGGCTACGTGGCCCTATTTGTGGGGTAACCGATAACCAGATGACTGCTCGCGTGATGCTGAACAGGCAAGCAAGCCCGGGCCAAACCGAGTTGAGCCACGTCGAGTCGAGTCGAGTCGAGCACTTATCAATCCTTTGTCAGGGGCGAGGCGAGGGCATGGCGCAGAATGTCGTCGCAGCAGTTTTCATTTCATTGCCGAGTGTCTTGCGACTCTGTGCGCTGTGCGCTGTGCTCTGTGCTCTGTGCTGCCTCCCTCGCAGACTCCGTTGCAGACTCCTTCGAATATGTAAAATTAAAAATGCAAAATTAATTTTGCACAAAACTGCAAGCGTTTGCAATTTTGAATAATTGTTTGTCCGCTGCAGAGGGCCTGGGGAAGGCACAGAGATAGGCATTTTCATGGCACTCCCTCCCCCTAGTGATACCCCATTGATGTGCCGTCAATCATTGTTTGGCGCATTGATCACTTCATTCATGCCCCATCCACATCCACATCCACATGCACATCCATTTTTTTCTGCATTTTCCATTTCCCTACGCTTCCTTTGCAATGCTGATTGCAATGCGAGTATCCTGCCTGCATGCCTGCCTGCTGCCTGCAGAAAAATCATAAACAATAAACATTTCAGGCTGGGCACCCAGAAAGAATCAATGGGAAAACAACGGCAGCAGCAGCAGCAGCAGCAACAACAATATCTGGTATCAACTCGTATATGGCGCGATTTTTAATTATCACTTTCGCATTTTGTGTACAAGTATTGTTCCCCTCGAACAGGCCTTGTATATGCACGTATCTATCCCATCTATGGCTCGTCTCTTAGCGAGCAGCGTTTCCATTTCCAGCGCTTTTGCGCCTCGAACAAAGAAAGCGAACCGAACAATCCCATCCATGGAATGCTCAGCTTTTAGCTCACCAGTGAGAGATTCTTCTCGCCCCAAGAACCCCGCTACCAAACCGCTCCATCAGTGAGGGTATGCTTTGGGGCATAGCCGAAATTTATGCAGAGGAAAGGCGTGATGGATCGAAGGGGATTTGTGTAGAGCACGGCTAAATTTTATACAGTAAAATATAAACAGAATACGAAGCCATTTCCGGATGGAATAATCCGATTAAATAGAATGGGAGCAATTAAAAATTGTAATGGAAGAAATGCCATAAAAGATGTTGGAAGATTAACGATAAAACTTATTTAATAAATTGAGTATAAATAAGTATTTACCAGGGATAGAGCTGCAAGTAAATCTATTCAATTTCCTTCGGGATAAATGCATCTGTAGACTTAAACAGCACACCCCAAAAAAGAGCATTCCAAATTCGATTTGAACACCTGCCTTCCCAGCCCAACTGTAATTCCAAATGGCTTTTACTGAGCAACAGAGTCGTTCTGTTCTGTTCTGTTCCGTTCTGTTCTGCAGCAGCAACTTTATTGTTTTCAATTAAAAACACTCACAGCCCATTCAGTCAGCGAATCCATTCGGTCGGGCTTGGCATTCATAGGCTCGAAGGCAGCAGGCTACAGGCTGCAGGCAGCTAAAAGCAGCAACGTGACACAATTGCAGATGCAAGTGAAATGTAATGAGGTGTAATGAAAATGCATTCAAGTGACAGTTTTATCCGCATCTCCATACCCATTCCCATACCCATTCGCAGTCCCACTCCCACGTGCACTTAACAATAATCCGGAACAACAACAACAGTACGAGTAGTATGTGGGGAAATACATATCGATGGAGCGCTGTCGGAGTAATGAGTGAATGCCGTAAAAGCATTCCGATGAATGCTTCAAATTTTAATGTTTTAAACGGCAGTAGAACTGTCCTGCATCCTGCAGGCTCTAAACAGATCAGAGGTAGTGACAGTAAACGTCGTGTTTTGGTTGCATTGACCGCAAATCCGTTCCAAAACAAACCGCAAATTATACAAAACATCGATTTGAAAACACTTATGAAAATGAAATAAAACCCGCAAAGCCGCAAAATAGCCAACAACAAAAAAAAAACCAAAAACAAAACCAAAATCGAAATTGGTTTATTGAATTCCCCCCCATCCAATCCCATCCAATCCATCGTCCCTGCCCGCTTGTCCAATCAACTGGTAAATAAATCAAATTTCATGGCTTAGTTTTTTGTAGCTTTTTCAGCCACAGCCAACGGGACGTTAAATGCTTAAATTATTTATAAGCTCAGCCGTGCGGAAGTGTCCTGGGAAAGGGGATCACGCGAGAGCTGGTGTGGCAGAGCTTCACAATGCCAGCCTAACGGTGAGCACAATGGCCGCGCTTTGGGCCTAATTAGCCTCGTGGCCAGCGTCGAGGACATTTCAGGAATCGAGAATTCAGATTTTGGGCACTCCTCGTATCCGTGACAATGCTGAAACGCATAATTAGGCAAAAACCCCGACTCGCTGCCTGCCACTTCAGAATGGGGCACAAATTGGACCTGGGCCCGGACCTAGACCAGGGGCAACGCCCACACCTTGGCATTGTATTTCCGCCAAGAAATCCTAGAAATTCGCGTAAATTGCAAAAAAAAAAAATATTTAAAAAAAAATCCGTGGCGGTGGCAGAGTACGAAAAGTGTACGGAAAGTGCAGTAAGTAGCTGGAGCCACTGTGGGACACATAAATAAATGTGCCCGCAAAATCCGTAAATATGATTAAGTGCCAAATTTATTTACAGCTCCCCGGTCGCCTTTAAAAAAGCAGCCTGCCTGCGTATACCCCAACAAAAAAAAAAGCACAGCAACAATGAATGGGAGGGAGAGTATGAAGATGCGGAGAGCGAGCCGCGAGCCCCGTGGGCAGGCGAAACAGAAGCAAATGCCGGAGCCACCACCACCACCTGCCGGATGGCGCGTGGCTTACGGCCAGCCACTGGATGGGATGGTGGGAGGTGGCAGGTGGCAGGTGGGGGGTGGCTGGCCAGGGCAGGTGGGCAACTCGATTACAATTACGTGCGCTAATTGCACTTTAAGCGCGTCCAAGCTTGTCATGGCAACGTTCCATCCATCCATCTGGCCTGCTGTCCGGCAGTCTGTCTGTCTGTCTGTCTGTCCGTCCGTCCGTTGGTTGTGTCCCGCTGCCCGCACAATTGTGTTCTTCATTTTTATGGCATTTCCTTTGGCACAACTTACAGCGACATAAATTTGCAAACATGATGTCCTTGCTGGAGCGCATTATACGAACTGAGCGAACTACTCCTACTCCGTTGCGACCCACAGGCCACAGCCACAAACCACAAGCACGACCACAAGCAAGCCCGTGACTATTCCGGCTCTGGCATTGTAATACTGCGCTCCGAAGTCAGCTTCATGGCTGCACTCGCTTCACTCGCAGTTGCCGTAATTCAAAGTGGCGCTAAATTTAGTTTAATACAGCATACAGCACAGCACACTGCACAGTGGGGCAAATTGCTGCTGATTTTATTCAAATAAAACTCACTCTAAAATGTAAAAATAATTGCAGACTCCGTTGGGTGTTCTCAGAACTTCCAGCTGCAAAAGATATAAGTTATCCTCCTAAATACTCGTATTTGCATAATGTTGAGTGAACATTTTGAGCCCACTATGTCCTGCCACACATACATAAATACCCAGCTGTCTTCTTAGGCGGCAGCAAGTGGCCCTCATAATGGGCCAAGGCGTAAGTCCATGTCTGGCTGCCTGTTCACCTGGCTGACTTTCAGACCAGGCATCGCTCCTCTCTCTCTCACTCTCTCCTACTCACTCACTCTTCGCCAACAGTCGCTTGTCCCTTCTGTTGCTGGCAGTCGGTTCTTTTGCTCATTTACACCTTTTATTACGTATGCGTGCGTCGGTGCAGCAGCAGCAGCAAAGTTTGCAGTTCAGTTTGCCATTAACGTGGCCATAAGCGCTATCCAGGCTCACCCACACATGCACATGTACATATGTACATATATGAATATGCAAATAGAGAGGAGCCAGTGCTTAGGGGAGGGGGGACTGGTGTCCGCTTCTGCCAAAGGGCCAATTCCATATTTTGCTGGCAACCCGAGATGAATCAAAGTCTCTCTCCCACGCTTATGGCTCAATGCATTGCTACTGTGTGGGTGTGGGTGTGGGTGTGTGTGTTGTCAAAACTGAGGCTGGGATTCTTATTCCTCTGCCTCGTTTATAAGTTTATGTGTAAGTATTGTGGGGGTGTGCGTGGGCAGGCGGCCTGTGGCCTGCGGGCAAAAGTTTTTAATGTGAAAAGTGCAAAGGAGAGTGCAACCCTCATGGAAGAATCCATGTCATTCCTTGCCAGAGCAACACAACCCCCAACCCCCAACCCACCCCACACCACGCCACGCCACTGTCACTGCATTTTAATTTACTGCATACCTTGAGGCGCCACTCGCCTGCGCTCGCATGCCAAGTGGCAAAGTCCAATGTGCTCCCCGTGCCAGAAGCTGTAGCCGAAGCTGTAGCCGACTTGTTGCCTTCTTCTCCACATGCACACCACATGCACCACACCACTGACTATGCCTCTGCTTCGTGCCACAGCCTCCACCCCTCTCTCTCTCTCTCTTCCTCTGTGGCTGTGACAAATTGTGGCTGGCTGCGTTTTGCATTTTACTGCAAATTAAAGGATTTCTTTTGCCTTTTCAAGTTGACAACTTAAGATACTTAGGCATAAAAAGCCTGTCATACATGTCTGCCATGCACGCCCCCCCTCTCCCACTCCCATTCACTCCTCCTCCACCTCTCTCTCTCTTTCTATGTGTATGCGTAAAGAGAATTAAGTGCACTGCGCTTTGTGGAGAATCACTCGAAACAAAGCCCACACAATGCTGCGGGCTTGCAACCCCCCCGCACTCACCCACTCACCCATCCCGATACCCTCCCCCAGGACGATGGCTGTCATGGCCGGGTCGCCTTGTCAATCCTCCACCATCGTGGATCTTGTGCCCAGGATACGACCCGCGCCCATTATCCACCCCATTCTCTCTCTCTCTCG